TTTTTTTTCATAAGAAAGGAGTATAAAAGGGGTTCCATGTTCAAGATGTGCCCACTCGAGCTGTCCTCGAAATCGTTTCTTCTCTTTTTCTTCTCAGTTTTGTACTCTGACCGATGCCACAGTGAATGCATCCCACCGTTATTATTGACGGCCATTGATATTATATGAAACATTTGGATAATTGTGATGCTTGTACGATGGCTTGGGAGGCCGGTCAATGTTTCTTTGAGTCATCTGCATTTGCAATCCTGAGAAGAATCCGAAGGCACGACTCATACAGGTCGACTCTAACTGCTTCGGCTTCTACAGCTTCGGCTTCAGTTTGACGACCGTTGGACTGGTTCTGTCGTTCCAGAGGATCCAGCAATTGAATGATCGAAGGGAAAATGGATGAGTATGATGATTAGGTTGGCTAAGGCTAATACCAAGCGGGGACTCGAAAAACGGACCACACGTAGTGTGAAGCGGCGCAACCAGGTAACCCCATTTCTACCCTAAAAATGTTCGAGAAAGGTTGCACCAGGCTTCGTGCACGATCTAATCCAAGGGACTTCAAATCATAAAACTGAAGTCTCTGTTTGCATTGAAATTGGAGGAATTCTCAACCACCAGCTCATTCTGGAGAGGGCAATCAGGATGGACCCCTAGATCATCTTTTTAGGATGAGCCTTGCATTCGAAGGGATAATTAGTATCGTAGGATCATAGGAGGGATGTTCTCCAGCAGACAATGACCTCTCATGGTCTAAGCGGTTCACAATTCGGATCTTCTTCTCTCACGAGAAAATCTAAAACCGCTTAGAAGGCCCGGATAAACAACACGCTCAAGTAATATAAACCGTCGCAATTCGATCTCCGTGCCTATGGTAGCAGCCCCAAACCCCACTGGCTAATCTCTGGAAGAGTATTCGAATGTGTGACGTGTGATATTAGTCATTACGAGGAAACCTTTCAGGTACTAATTTCCTCGCCTCTTCCAAAACCTTCCAATCAGCTTTGCAATGACGTTCTCGATGCTTCGTTTGACGACTCTTCTCGTGCTGATTGCCGTCGCAATAAGCGTAGCCGAAGATCCAGCTGCCGCCAGATGCCGCAAGTGTGAGGCATGTCCTTTTTTCAAATTATCGGATGGCCGTTTAGCTTTAAAATGTTGTTTTACATTGCTAGTTATTCAATTACTTTGGGAAAAATCAGTCAAATCGGGAAAACCAACTTTTTGCCGAGGCTAGGATTTAGTCTGAGTAGGCCTCGCCTTAACCACCCTAAAGACACACTTCATGATAATTTTCGGTTAGAATGTCTACTACGAAGAAAACGCAAAAATCGACGAATTAAGAGAAATACGCCTATGCGCCTGCATGCCCTAAAATCCACTTCGCTAATAATCCACCCTACAGTACCAGGAACTTCGTAGACGAGAATTTCCGTTTCATTCCGCAGAGTAAATTTCCGGAAACAGAATAAATTGAGAGCTTAAGCTATTTTTTCATTGGAATCTCAATAATTTACCTGGTTCCAGACAGTATCGAACGTGGTTAAAGATCATTTCGTCAAGAACGGTCTCAAGGATGTTACCCCAGCTCACGTGGCCGAGAAAATCATCTCTGTATGCAAAGAGAAATTGGCCGCATCAGACCATAAGAAGTGCGAAAAAATAGCCACAGAGAACGCAGAGCTAATTCATACGCACTTGCGAACCGGCCAAACAGTGCGTGGTTCGTGTCAAGAGCTGAAACTGTGTTAAAATTGAATCACAATAAATTGTTCAAAATCTCTTGATCTAAATAGTGTATGACACGACAACCAGCCCTTAAGAAGTGCCAAGACAGACAGACAAACACACAACCGACAAACCGATACACCAAGTTACTGCCTTATATTAGGATGTCCGGAAAGTTTTGAGAAAATTTTGCTTCTTAACTTTGAAAGCATGTTGCTCGCGAACGCGCTAAAGCATGACCATTGACTAAATAGCAGGGAAGAGGGCATCGTTGTTAGATCAATACTACAGCTGATGGGTACTTGACGTGGTCGTTCAAAGTAACTAATCGTAGAGGGAGGGATGAGCCATCGATACGACAACCAGCCTTCTCCTTCTCCATTACAGAACCGATCGCTTCGATACTCAGGATTGGAATGAGATATGGTCACTGGTTGAGAGCAGTGACCCCTTCTTGCCACCTACCATGAATGGCACGATAGCTTCCTCTAAGAAGAGATTTGCTTCGACGATGTTCGACGACTTGAACGTCCACTGTCCTCAAATACGGACACTGTTCTGGCCCCCCGTCAGAGCAATCCTGTTCAAATTGGCAGGATTTGGTAAAAACGACCTCTACTTCCCAATCCATCATCCGCGACATTTTACGCAAAAAACATTTTCAAAGCAGGACTCGTAACAAAACATCCAGTCAAAAAAAAAACAGGACTCTTCGCAAATATCGCACGTCCTCAACTACAGGAGTGCCGAGAGCCAGCCAGCGTTTGTCAGAAGCTCCTCGACTGTGAGCAAACGACGACATCAACCAAATTCATCATTGCCTATGATAAAAAGTAGATGTAACATGAAGATCCACACAGGAAATGGCAATACCTAAGAGCGGACTGAAAGCCACAGCCGCCTTAAAGCGAGGCGCTCACGCTTAGAAGGGTATGAGCTCATTCTTCCTCTGCTCAAACGGGTGAGTTGGTGTTTTACTATGAGATTCTACCAGAGAGCACTGCGGTGAGCGCAAGAGTATTCTGTTATCGATTGAGAGAGAGGGAGTTTCGAGCCCCATTTCACACCGAGTGGAAGGAAATTTTCGATTGTGTTGGGCCTTGCTCGATCATCCCACGCGAGGACGTCGATGGATGAGCTAGCAAAGACTTGGTATAACCTGGCCAACCCAATTCCTTAATATTGGGCTGACCTTAGCTTTTATAAATGCCATACTCTCAGATGCCCATAGGCTNATAAGGCCATTATCATGATCAGTGATCTAAAATTATTGCCGTGGTGATTTTGTATTGAAAAAACCAACTGAACTTTCTCAAAGCCTTCCGGACACCCTAATAATCAAGTGAGGTAGCGTTGAATAATAGAAAAACCATTGAGAAAAGGTACAAGTTACGATTTTCAAAGATCTCCATAACCTCAAAGGCGCACTTCGCAACAATTCTGAAGTAACTAGTTCTAGATGGAAAATGGAAGTGACAATGCAGAATAGTGCAAAGGTGATGAAGAAGACGCGGTTCTCGGCGTATTTAAAGAAACATAAGTTCTTCAAAAAGTAGTCAAATGAGGGGTTGGAAGAGAATATGACGGCGAATTTGCAAGGAAGGATTATTTGGGTTCGAGAAGGCGATAAAGAGTCCGAGAAGTTGAGCCAGGTGGGATATTAAGAGGTTTCACCGCCTGCCAGTTGGCAGAGCACCCTGAATTGCTTTATGGTCTTTGAACGAGCTCCATGAAGTCGACAAGCAGTAGGGTCGAAATCAAATCTGTTGATCCGACGCACGAGGTAACAAGCCAGCATAAGGTTTTTGCTCATCAAAAAGCAAAAACTTACTCCGCTCATAGGTTGTATCTGAGCTATTTTAGCTATTTTGAGCAAAGTTTTCGCAACTATTCCCTGTCGGATCTGTCCTGCACCCATATTCGGAAAGTGTGTGAGCATTTCCAGTGTTTCTAAAGTATGAAGGAGGGATGTAAGTAGCCTATATGATGCTTAAGAAATTTGAAAGCGTATAGGACATCAAGGATCCGAGCCTTCGTGTCACACCTATCAGTCAGTTCATTGCCCCTCCAGCTGCGCCATCGCTTCATGTTCGAAAAGCTGTTGCTTAGCTAATAAAAGCAACACAGTGGCACGACACCTGGAAAAATGATTCGTAAGTTTGTTACCAGAATCATTTTGCAGATTCAGAATCGAGATTTGAGACCAGCGTTCAGAGGCCCATACATAGTATACTTTTCATCTTAAGCGACCTAGTATCCTTCTCTAGTTAGCACTGGAAAAAGCAGCATGAAGAATTAGAGGCCTCTTCAAGCAAATCGTGACAATATCCCTTTGCCCATTAAGGTGCCGCTAAGGGGATTTCTCAAAGTGGGAAGTAGTAGGAAGTCAGATGTTCCGCAGCGAGTTGACAAAGCGCTTTTCTGGGCGAATACAAAACTTTCCGAGCTGAAGCATAACTATTGCCTTCAAATTTCCATATTTTCCGATAGTTTCGACATTTTGTGAAATCTTTTGCTTCGTCCATTTCAACAGAAACTTTGATAGCCATCGGAATTCCGTAAATTGCTTTCCCATACAGCATTTCTGGATTTCGGCATTATTTTATGGCAATAGCCTAATCACATGCTGCCTTTTATTGTATTAGCCATTGAAAAACAGTGTTGGTTCAGAAGAGTGCGCAAAGATTTTTGTCACAGGAAAGGAATATAAAAGGAGCTCTAGGTTCACACTTCAAGATGTGCCCATTCGAGTTGTCCTCGAAATCGTTTCTTTTCTTTTTCTTCTCAGTTTTATACTCTGGCCGATGCCATACTGAATGCCCCCCAACGTCATCTTTGACGGTCGTTGATATCATACGAAACTTTTGGATAATTGTGATCCCTGTACGGTGACTTGGGAGGGCGGCCAATGTCCACTCAAGTCAGCTGCATTCGCGATTCTGAAAAGAATGCGAACGCACGGTTTATATTAAATGGGTCAGTCAGCTCTGATTGCTTAAGCTTCTATAACTTCGGCTTTAGTTTGTCGATCCTTTGACTGGTGCAATTGTTTTTATCATTCCAGACGATTCAGAATCTGAGTGGCCTGGAAGGAGGAATGGATGGGTATGATGATTAAGTTGGCTTAGCCGAAGACCACTCCGGAATTTGATAAAAGGACCATACGTGGAGTAAAGAGGCGCAACCAGGCACACCTCATTCCTGCCCTAAAAAGGTTCCTGCAAGATGGTATCAACACTTCGTGCATGATTTCATCCAGAGGACTTCAAATCATAAATCTGAAGTCTCTATCTACATTGAAATACATTTCTCAACCACCAGCTACATGGGTTAATAGTTTGGACTCCGAATACTGTTAATCATAGTTCTGGAAAGGGTGTTAGTGAATGAATAGGTGAATGAATAAACAAATGACTAAGTAACAAAAATAAATATCAGTCATAATTCGATAAGTAGGAGAAGGTAATGGTTGAAGCAATATGGATGGACCGATGGACCATCTTTCTTGGATGAGCCTTGCATTCGAAGTGATAACCACTATCGTAGGAACGGCCCAGTCCGTACTCAGGCAGCCAATGGCTGCTCATGGTCTAAGGGGTTTACAAGTCGGAACTCCTTCCTCTCCAGAAATTCTGAAACCACATAGTAGATCCGATAAACAATATGCTCAAGCTCAATGCCATACCCCACTCCCTCACCTCGGAAAGAGTATTCGAATTAGTAATAACAAAGAAAACTTCCAGGAACTCATTTACTTGCGTTCTCCATAAAGTTCAGAGAAGCTCTACAATGACAATGTTCTCGATGCTTCCTTTGACGACTCTTATTATGCTGACTGCCATTGCATTCAGCGTAGCCGAAGATGAAGTTGCCGCCAGATGCCGCAAGTGTGAGGCACGTCCTTTTTCTTGAATTGTCAGATGACCGTTCAGTGATGAAATGGGAATGTTGATTTACATTACAAGTTATTCATTTACTTTGGGAGAAATCATTTGAATTGGGAAAATTTCATTCTCAAACCGAAACCGAACCTATAGCAGAGTCTGATTACGTTTTGACCCATTCAGACAATGGAGGCCTACCAATACAGTGGTATCGATCAATACTTTCATATTCTCGAACAAGCATGGTAGCAAGCAAATGGGGCTGTACAAATGAAAAGCTGGGCTAGCCTGAATTAGCAGCAATCCGATATTCACTATCTACGCCATACGTGTAATAAGCCACTACGGTAATGAAGTCGGACAACTTGACCTCCCCCACCCTAAAGACACAGTTCATGATAATTTTGGGGTATCTTGTTTTCGACGAAGAAAATCCGAAAATTGACGAATCAAGAGAAATATGCTTATGCGCCTGCCTGCCCTAAAATTTACTCCGCTATTTACTCCTAACAATCCACATAGAGTGCCAGGAAATTTCGTAGACAAGATTTTTTCGTCTTGTTCCGTAGCGTGATGAAAGCACATTCTCGGAAACAGAATAATCAAGAGCTTAAGCTGTTCTTTCATAGGAATCTCAATGATTTAACTGATTTCAGACGGTATCGAACGTGGTTAAAGATCATTTCAAGAATGGTGTCAAGGATGTTACCCCAGCTCAGGTGACCGAGAAAGTCATCTCTGTGTGCAAACAGAAATTGAACGAATTTGACCAAGAGCATTGCAAAAGAATAGCCACTGTGAACGCAGAGCTAATTCATACGCAGTTGCGAACCGGCCAAACAGTGCGTGGTTCGTGTCAAAAACTGAAACTGTGTCACTGAATTACAATAAATCGTTTGAATTTCATTTATCTGAAAAGTGTATGATTGGAGTATTATGCGGAGTAATGTCTCTGTGCTCTTTAAGTTAAGTTGAGACAATTCGATGCATTGAACCACCAGTCGGTTCGTCCGACTTACACCTGGCTTCCTCCCTCTTCGACAAAGTAGTAGTAATCGGCTGACTCTCTACTCCTTCTTTGGAACAAAAATATTTTCTTGCACTCAAAGTTTGACTTAGTAATGATAACGGAGCAGCGCA